CACGTCAGTATAGCAAATTTCATTAAATTATCTCAAAAATTGCGATCTGTGTACTTTGAAGTAATGCTACTTCATTGCTCGCCCACTTCGGGACGTTTTCCACAGGCCATTTGCTTTTCGCTTAAATATTGGCGGATCATCTACCGGAAAGTCTGTTACTATTCCTCTATCTATCATCTTAGAGCAATTATCGCCACGTCGCTTACTTAGTTATTTCCACTCAGCATTTAAAAAGTGCTGGGAATGACTCAATGATTCTTATAAATCTTCATTCGACAAATGACCCATACGAGCGGAAAGACAAATCGTGTCTGATCTCGTGCTGTCTTTCCACCATTCGCTGGTGAATATAAAATCTTATTATTAATACTATGAGGAACGAACTTTCGACGCGCTTCACAGTCCGGCTGCACAGATGGTTCTTCGCGAAAAAATTTGTTTATTTTCTTTCCTTATTGGAGGCGCATAGCCTATTTAAGATTCTAATTTAATCCTGGCTTTTAGTTCAGATATTCAACTGCAATCAAGCAGCTATCATCAACCGATTTATGTAGTTTTGTGTTAAATCTAGTCCTTTAATTTTTGTGACTACATGGACCCGGTTATTAACTCTCCAACTAGTTTATATTGTTTTAACTAACTTCTTTTTTTCGATTGTATTCAACAGATCGTTATTTGAAATAAATTCATCTCACACTTTCTCTTAACCTTGTATTTTATTTCTTTAATCCGGTATAAAATTGTTTTTGGACCTTAGATGACGGCGCCTTTGCACTTTTAACAAAAGAGCAATATGTCATGATGTTATCATTTATCTAGCCAGCCAGAATCAGAAAATAGCACAACAAGGTTGTCACTCAGACAGTCAGGAGCAGAAAAAAGAAGTAGGCATGGGCTTGGTACTCCTCCTTACTAATTCATCTCATAAAATTGAAAGCACATTTTGCTGTTTGTCGGGTGACACTTCAGTCTTGCTTATTTACTTACGCTAACTATTACGTACGAGCAATACCTTCAGCTAAACTCAAAACTACTGAAATTGTCCCCCACTTTGGATTTCCTAATATTAAAATCTTCAAAACAAGAAATTTGTTTTGTTACGAAAATTTTCTTAATGATAATTTTTCCCTATCCAAACTGACTTGTCATTTCCCTCCTTCCCTGCCTTTAAGAATATCGTATCATTTATTGCCGCACTTTTTCCATTCGAGTAGTAGCTATAGAATGTAACACAACGCAACTTATCACGATTTTTTTTTTTTGTCACAGAATAAGACTTATCGCACCTTTTAGGTGGCGCCGCGCAATATCTTTCCAATGACATCTTAAAATTAATTTTTCTTGCGTTGAATTGTAAGCATCGCCTAACATAGAATCTTTTAATCTCCTTTTCAGAAATCATTCTCGATTGCCGATAAGTTGCTTAAGTATTGTTCGTAGAAATGGATCACTAGATTAATAGTCATTACGTTAAGAGGTAATTGTGTGCAATTTTGTTGCATTGCAATAGCTATGCACAAAGAAACTTTACGGTATCATTTTTCCATTGGAAATTTTGCTATTAGATGTGCTTGAAACTTTTGAGAAAAGTTTGCGTACGTAGTCTTCTTCCTGCAGCAAAAATTTGAAATTATCAACTTTCAAACCAATTAACATAAGTGTCCTTGCAATGCTGCTACTACTTCTAAGGATGAATATCAAACGAAATTTTCCAATACTTGAATAATTGAACAACCTACTTAAAGAATTGACAGAATGAGAGAGTTTACCTAATTGCAATCCTGTCGGTATGACTCGCAGAAATTGATGAGTAAACAAGTAAGAAAATTATGTTCGGCAGTGACTACCTATCTTTGTGGAAAACTTATATCGTTAGTGTCTAATGTAGTTTATGAGCAATTAGCATAGATACAGAGAGCAAAGGTGTTCTCACTGTACATTGCTTTGTAAGCGTATTCTTTGGCCGGCTTCGTCCGTTTCCAAACATTTTTGCAAATTCGAAGGCGTTGTCTTCACTCTTGTGAACGGAATAATGTTTACCATCGATACGGCATAGTTGCGGAGACGGATAGCTTTAAGTGCATTACTGTATATGTTAGCAAGTACTGTATATGTAGCGCCTATAGAATATACGCTTAAAGTTTTATAAGCTTATCTGCTGTAGCTTGCAAGTGATGAGCAAAGAACTAATTCTTCTTCTTTTTGTAAAGCAAAGCTTTTCTTGCATCAAGCGGTAATGTGGACATGTCTTCCGACCGATTTGGCCCGTTTTTAATGTCAATTCGTGTGCCAGAACTTTCAATGTTAAAGCCAACACCTTCATTTTTCGGCCAGGCTGTTGCCAATAGGCCTTACACAGAAGGACAGAGGGACATGCTTAAATCGCTTAAGAATTTGATATGCCTATCAATAATATATATACTTTGTCGGGTTTCTGAACTTGTTTTCTAGGCGTGACAAGCGTTTCGACAAAATGAGTGTACTCGTCATTCTTCGGTGATGGTTACAAAAATGTTCGAATAATGGACGAGTTTGCGTAATGCAAACCTCTGGATTGCGATGGGTCATGGACCTCAGCGACTTTTAAGTTTCGAAAGCAAAGCAAAACAAGAATAATGCGAGGCATAGATTATATCCATTTAGATGGATATTTTAAAATAATAATCAGCTAATGTTGAAGCAGGAGCTATGTCAATTTTTAAATTTTACTTTATTTACCTGATAATCGTTATTCCAATGCCGCTATAGACGGACAAATACGAGGTATATGCATGCTTCTTGCTGTCTCCGCTACAAACTGTATCATTGTAGTATGTTTGTAACACACTCGATTGCGAACGCTTAGAATTTTATTAACTTTAGATTTGCCTGAAAAGTTTTATTTCTCAACAATAATATTGCATATCTTCACAATATCTGTATAAGTTTTCATATGGAACTATTTTAAAACTTTCATGTAGGATTTAACAGACACAAGCAAAACGTTCTAATCACTCCTTGCACATTTGGAAAACATATAAAAGAAATAAAACATAAAGGACTGTGATCCTTACAACACAAGACGAAAGAGATTTCAGAGTTGCATTTTGTAAGAAGCATTAGCACTAAGCTTTCGAAGGCAATAAGTTTGTTATCGAAAATGATAGATCGAAGAAACACCTTGTGGATGGGTTGTTACATTAAGCGGCAGGCTTCTGAAAGACTTTTTCAAGAAATCTCAATTAAAAATATATATTAGGTACATCATTTTCACGATTACAGTGTAGCGTGTATAGGGTAGTTGTTTGTATTGCTATGAAATGCATTTGTAGAAGGTTATGAATAAATCTTAAATGTCGTATGTGTAAGTTTTTGGAAAACTTCAGAAGTTACAAATCTAATTATACCCTACACCATATGTGCAAGGTGCAAGGGTATAGTAAGTTTGTGCGGATGTATGCAACGACCAGAAGGGTCTAACATAGGCCCACCCGCTATTATACCAATCGTTACTGAATCAGTTTCCGCGTCTGTCCTTTTGATTTTTTTTGCTCAACCGCAAGGCTGCAATTTTCGAGATATTTCTACTCGATGAGTAATAGTACTTCGACATTCTGAATTGATATGAAAAATTATGTTTAGTAGGGGAAATTTTTTTGAATCCCCTCTCGTCAAACTATTTCAAAGGAAACTGAATCTAAATATGTTGAAAAATTATAGTTTTCAATATTTGATGGTGAAAATTGCTTGATAATAGTAAATTGAGAAAAGAAATCAAGCTTACGGAATTTGGACCACGTAGTTGTATTTTTCAGGATTATCTGGAAATGTAAACCCTTATATGCCCAAAAAGACTTCCTTGCTAATGTTTTATAATCAAAAATATGGTCATGAGCGTAATTTGACACAAAAATTAAGTGGACTAAATTTGGATCACATAGATATATTCCTTGGACCCCACTTCATATAAGGTGAGGTAGCCCTTCAGAAAATGTTTAGTTCAAAATAGCCAAGTCCAAAGTAGCCAAGTTAGTAAAAAAATTAACAGTAGGGAATTTGAATTATATAGATCTGTTTTTTGGGACCCCACCATATATAGGGACTATCATGAAAAGCAATTTCTTATAAGGAGTTTAACTTCGTCTTTTTTATTACAGAATATGAAATATAGAAATATTTTAATTTTGCCAAATTGGAATGACGTCATTTGGGCATCCTCCTATAAGCGAACTTTCAAGAGAGGTATGTTTTTGCATGGAAGTTATGTGCTAATTCCTATTTTTTATTACCAAAATACTAGGCGAAGAGATATAGGGTATCTAAAGGCGGCCTTGCCCGACTATGGTGTTCATTTTTGTTTTCTTTTTGAAAAAGTGCACGGAACCGAGAAAGCAGTGAAACGCTTATCGAAAAGCAAAAGATCTTTTCCGGCCAAAAAAATTACTTCTACTCCTTCTCATCGTACACATCACTGGCCACTTAAACCAATAATTCTTCACTCAGCTGCCTCCGGCATTTGCATTTACCTTTAGTTACTTTACTCAGCAATCAATTATTTAGATGTAGCAATAAAATGTATGTAAGATGAGCCCTTCTGCTCCCTTAACTTCATTTCCTCTGATGTGTTGGCCATACATCTGTATAGAGAAAGTAACCAGTTTCCTGCATTGAAATAATAGACTATATCAACCTAATCAAAATTAAGAAATAGATCAGTTAATCCGCCATAATGCCCCGATATGCTTGGTAATAGGCGCTTAATTCGTCCATTGGCCAAATGTTCTTTAAAATACCTACTGAAAAGCAGCTCCCTCGAGAACTCTTTAGGGAATAGAATTAATCGTAATCTGTTTAATGAAACGCCCAGTTTTTTGTTTTATTTCAGTTCTCTTCTTTTCTTTTTTTTTTTTGAACACAATATTTAAAGGGATGTTAAATGATGAGCAATTAAAAATAAAACAAATTGAACGAAAGGGAAAAAAGGAACGAAGAAAAGCGAGCCTATTCACTGGCAATAAATTCTAGATACTGCTGCTTTGGGAGTCCAATTTTTCAGTATCTTCTACGTTGTCAGCATTTATTTCTTTAATAGGTTTTTTAAAATGTTTTTCGATTTCGCGGCAAAGTTGCATTGTCTTGTTACTATGTATTAGATTAATTGCGATAACTTGCTTACCAAATCGCCCCGTTCGACCGATACGATGTAAATATGTGTCACAATCAGCAGTACCTTTAGCATTGATAGGCAAGTCGAAGTTCACCACAATCGTAACCTGCTCTACATCAATACCGCGGGATAACACGTTCGTAGTGATCAGAACTTTCTCGATACCCACACGGAAACGATCAAGTGCTATTAAGCGCTGCTCGACTGTCAGCTCGCCAGTTAGTAGAGCTACTGCATGCCCATCAAGCATCATTTTTCCAGCCAACCAGACAGCCATTTTGCGGGAATGACAGAATATAATTGCCTGACCAATTACAATGCTGCCATAGATAATCTCTATGGCTTTATACTTGTCTTCTGGGGAACTGCAGCGTACATAATATTGTTTGATGTTATCCAATGTCTCTTCTTCCCTCCTAAGTCGTATTATATTAGGTGATGGGACAATATATTGAGCAAAATCCATTAGTTCTTGCTCGTAAGTGGCCGAGAAGAGTAGCATTTGGCATTTTCGAGAGAGCTGCTTGCGAATGCGAATGCATTGATCGTGATGACCTTGAGTTCCTATCATAATATCAGCTTCATCTAAAACGAAAACCTTGATTCTCGTCAAATCGAAAATACGAAATTTCAAACACCAATCCACCAACTTTGCTGGAGTGCCAATGATAATGTGTTCACTTAGCTGAGCGTGGGAAGATATATTTTCCCCGCGAACTGCAAGGTTTATATTTATATTCGGTAGAAATTGTCCTAACTTTGCAGTTGCTTCGCCTATCTGAACCGCCAATTCATATGTCGGTGACAAGCATATCACTTGGGGATATTTTAAAGTCGTATCTACGCGACTTACCATTGTTATGACAAATGCCGCTGTTTTGCCCGTACCCGATTGACTTTGTGCTATTAAATTTTGAGGGGGATCAGCGAGTAAAATGGGCAGAGCTGTCTCTTGAATTTTGGAAGGTGCGTTAAAGCCCATTGCGTAAATGCCTTTAAGTATTTCAGGTTTCAAATGCAATCTCTCGAAACTTTTCACTGAATGTAATGGAGAATCTGGATCTTGCAGCTGCACTTCTAAATCCAACTGCGATTCAACTAAGCCTTTTCGTATAATCTTCAACATTAAATTAGTATCCGCAGGATTTGGACAATCATCTTCGTTGTCTTCTTCTGCACAATAATCGTCGTTGTAAGTTTCCACATCGCTGTCCAATCCATTTGCTTGATATTTCGATGTTTTATGCACATTCATTTTTCAAGACACCGCAAACTGTTAAGATTATGCTGAGTAATACTTTTTAGTAAATAGCGGAAGACACGGCGTTATTTTAAAAACTTGAAAGCAAAAGACAAGAAGTGAATAGAAAAGTAAGTCAATATTAAAGACACTGAAACCGTTTAGAAAATTCATCTGACTTTTGTTACCCTTATTGTCTTTTTTTCACCTCGCTATGCGTAGCCTACCGCCATATACTGAGGAAATTGAAAAAATCATCAAATACAAGCGCATCACCTTTTAATCATTTTACATGGCTTGCTATTACGTACTTTTGATGGGCAGGGAAAGAAAGAGACAAATCGAATCTAATCTTTATGTTGATGAAGAAATACACGATTAAAATATAGTCTCCGGAATGTGTTTCCACTGCTTATGAGTATTTGGCCTTCCTAATACCTCCCTTTCGTACTTATAATAACAGTCGCATGGGCGTTACTAGCGAAATTACAGTACGTCATGCTCGCGATGTAATGAACCTAAGGAAAAAATAGTTAAAAAGCATAGTCGAGCAAGGCTTACATCGCCTGAGGCGCTTTCCAATTTGTTTTTGTGATAAAATATCAGAGGTTTCCCCTGCCACTTTAAAGCCAATTTTTCATGGGAGCCTTGTCATGGCAGGAGTACCCTTATAGCGTTCGAGATCCCAAAAATAGTCTTACGTGGTAGAAACGGTTACATTAGAACGGGTTCAAAAAATTGACCAACACGATCCAATGTTTTTGCACAAATGAAGAATGCGGAAATATTATTATTAAGCGATTTTTGTCGCGAAATTGTAAAAATTGACATATTTTCTCTTATAACGATTTATCAAATGCTGGAAAAGTTGTTCCGATCTGAACCATTTTTAGCATCATTCGTCTCTGGGTCAAAACACACCGGTACACTAAATTTGATCCAAATATCTCCAATATTTGGTGTAGGCTGAGAACAACAATACAAGCGCGGATGGACGGACATATTTATATCGACCCTAAAAATGATTCTGAATTTTTTGGTGTAATAAAAGGCGGCTCTACTTCAAGCCCCTCTTAATACAATCCGTAGCACAAGCGGTTTAGAATATCGTCAAAATATCTCGAAAATTGAAAAGTCCAGGTTGAGCAAACAAAGCCATATAAGGACAACCATATGGCGGACACAAAGATGAAGAGACGAACTGAAATCCCTTAAGAAAATAAATCTGATCGATCAGTATAGTGAAAGATTTATTTATATCAAGTTCTTTTAACAGTTACATATATCCGCGCAAACTTAACATGCACTATAGTACAGCGGCTATGTAGAGCGTAATGAATACAATTTCGATTGTGAGAATGAGAAATTGCAACGATTATCTCTTGTTCGTATATTTTGTACAAACTCTGGTATTAGCTTTTAAGCATACGCACATACGTACATACATATAACTCGAGACGATAAATAAATGTAATAAACAACAAGAACAATAAACACAAGACAAAAAATGAATGACGCCGCCGGAAATTAAAGAAAATTTGCAAAGAAAGATAAAATTTTGACTTGAGAAAGTTTTTCGAATTTTGAAGAATAAGTTGTTTGCGAAATGTGTTTGCGAAATATATTTAAAGTCTTTAACCAAGCACACACGTATTCTCTATATATATATATATATGCAGAATGCACAAATAGAACACATGTGAGCAAATTATAATATTTGCGCACTTTGGACACATCTTGCCTATTAAGCAAATAACAGTTAAATATACAAAATTGGCCGGACACTTAATTAAATTCAACACCTGTGCACATACACATTTACTCATGGAATTAAAATACAATACACGTAAGCAAGCGGAATCCTAAATAATAATAAGGACTTTTCTCAAGGCTTTACGGGGGATATAAATTAATATTCATTGGAGAGCATAAAGAATTTGTTTTTATTATTATTATTATTATTAAATATTTTAATATTAAATTTTCTGTTTTCGGGTTTTATTAAATTCTTCAAATTAATTTCTTTAAATTTATAATTGTAAAGCTCGCTCGCTATCCCTTATTTGCACTTGTAACCCATTTATATTTGGTTTACTTGCACACAAACACACAAGAATGTTTTCATAAATTGAGTTTATTTTTTTTTTTTTTTTGAGCCAACAACGTGACCTGCATTCAAAATTGTTATAATCTATGTGCTGTAGTTGCCGTTGTCTTCTTTCGTACATAAACTCGGATTCTCGCTTACATGCTTTCGCTATTTTGTATAAAACCGCAATATATTGCAATGTCAAAGTTAATTTTATATGTATGTTATGTTACATACATAAACTTAACTACAATGCACAGCAACTATTGGACTGAACAAAAACAAGCGAACAAACCATATACCATAGACCCGCCAATATCATTAACATTTTCTTTGTTACATCATCATACAGTTGGTCTGTTCTTGATGCTTTTGGCTTTGTTTTTTTTTTTTTTTTTTTTTTTGTTTTTATTGTTATTATTATTATTATTATTATTATGTTTATATTTTTATATTTGAGGGAATATTCATTTTTACAGTTTCACAAAGCCTTCCCAGGGAATCTAGAAAGTGTAAACGTTGTTGATCACTACAAGGTTTTATGTCTTTTAGCGCCAAGCACAGGCAGGGAGCATATTGGACAGGCATTAGTAGAAAAGTACTTATGGAAAACACCATAAAGCGATTGACTCATAAGTAGAACACGTTTCATGTTTCATGACGAAAATAAGCGCAAGGATTTTTTAAGAAATTTATTAAAAATGCGAAAAATGCATTTTTATTTTTAAATATGGTCTTAACCCTATATAAAATTTTCACAAAGCTTAGCTGATTGAAACAAAAAAAGTTTATACATTTCATTTAAAGCAAAAATAGTCCCGAAAGTATAAAAATTTGTTGGGTATAGAAATGAAAAACATTATCTAAAGCGAAAACACACAAAAAGTCTATTGAATACCCTACATCACTCTCATTATATGGAGAGTGTTCGAAAAAGTATTCCGATTCGCGCCATTTTCAATAGCGTTTGTCCTTGAGCCAAAACACATCAGGACACCGTAGTTCATCATAATATTCATCAAAAATTGCGGCTTGTAGGTTAAACGCAAGAAAACAAGATGGAAAGCCGCGCTTACATCGATTCGGAATCACTTTCTGAAGTGGTCACTTTCTGCATCTATCGCAAGTCCTTCCGGATGTTGCATACACTCGGACAAACTTAATATACCCTTGTACCACAAATGGTGTAGGGTACCGCGAGATAAACTACAATAATAGTTAATAATATTTTTTCTTTATTATCTCTTCCTACCTACTACTACCTACCTAGCCTACCATCTTTCCATTTTTGCGTCCTTTGATTTCGAAAACAAAGACAAGAAGTCCTCATAAAACTCATCGGTATTTTTAGGCATTTTGTAACCGATCGTGTCTTTAGGGAAATACGATAAACTTTAAATGATATTAACGTCGGTTCAAGTCCAGTTTTCAAAGCGATTAGCGCTGGTCATTCGAAAGCTCTAGGTTCTAGAGGTTTGGTCGAAATTTTTTCAACCTAATTTCTTTGCACTGCGTCGAACGTACCTCTCCTCACTGCATTTCAAGCACGTTGAACTGTTAGTGCAATACTCTCTCCCGCATATTTAGTACTTTTTCTGGTCTTCTTTGCAGTGTGCGCTGGAACTTTTACACTATACGCAAGTATTCTTCCGTTTGATTTAATGCCGTCAACTATTTTCTCGTAACTCCTTAACACATTTTTCCAGCCATGTACATCATCAGTGACATCAGTTCTGAGAAATGTTAAACGCTTGATAATACTCAACTTTGGCGGAAGACAATTTGTGCTCAAAATCCTGCGCATAGGCCTTGTTTACCAATCTATTCGACACTACTAGAAAAGAAAAACAAGAAGAGAATTTCGTTCGCGACTTCTCCAAAAGTCTCAAAAGTATTTTGCTCCCTTCTCCAGCTAAGCTGTAAAGAAAGCTGTAATTTCGGTTTCCACTTGAGCATTCCATTATAATCTAAGTGAATGTTATTCTTGCAATGTAACACAATTTTTCTAAAGCACATCGGTAACGTAGGTAAAATGCCTTTATTTAGTTCCTGACCCAAATGAACAATTTTTTCAAAAGGGCAATGAAATCCTTTGTCCACAACAGCTTTTGACGTAACTAGTACTTATTTTAACATAGAAACCAGTCAAGACTGAAGGGTGTAGTTTTTAAAAAATGCGAGTACATTTTTTTTGTGCAAAAGCTGTTATGCATAGTACATTGATCAATAATTCCCGGAACGTAGAAAACAAAACATTTTTGTTTACTATTTTATCCATCATTATGACTGCCTTAGTTCAGCACTGCCACGATAAATCAATGTCTTCTTTATAGAATAATTCGTCCAGATCCACAAAATCTCCTTCTCTGAAGCATAGTGAGGTGGCAAGTCCAGCTGCAATTCATGCATTTTTTCCGTTGTAGCCATCGACTTGTAAACTTCTGGTTTTGTGTTGTTGTGAGGAAAGACGTCGCCAATTTGGTAAGCAGCTTTCGTCTTACCATACTTGCTATCCCTTGTTGGTTTATCACTTGTACGGGTGTATGCATCATGCAGAAATAGCTTGTATGCTCGTCCGTCCCTCCGTCCATCTGTTTTCCTTGTCTTCTCATGTCCAAAGTACAGGCGATAATTTTTCAAGTGACATTTGATACATTGACGGTTTTTGGCACAAGGACGAACGCTATTCCCTTACAGGTCGGATTGGACCGCTTTTTCAATCACTTTCCATATAAAGCCTTACTTTGAAAAGTCAATGTACGAATGTCTGTAGGGTGAGGTAGTGTATTTAAGAGTGAGCAGTGCTCCACTGTAGGGTTTTTAATTGGCTTTGATTACAATTAATACTTTAAATATTTCCCGATTTAGTCCTGTATTTTGGGTCAAAATTATATATAAAATTTTTTTGAGAAGTAATACAAGACTA